GTTTATCATTATGTATTCTCTAAGACTGTAGATTTTCTCTCCTGTGCTCTTCACTTCCTTCTAAGCTCTTGCTAGCTGAGTTGTTAACATCCATTCTTCTGCTAATAATCTGTATAAATATTCTAGGACTTTCGCTATCATCCTTGTAATTCTTTTAGCTGCTGCCTATTGCCTAATTTCAAAACCACTTCTACATTTTTAGGTATGTGTTGTAGCAGCATTTCACTTTCAGATAACCAAAATCTGTATGTGCCATATTGTTGCTATTAAGAAACTTAGTGGGTTGAAACAATACAAATTTATTAAAATTATTTAGGTCAGATGTTCAAAACGGGTTGATGGGACTAAAGTGAAAAAGTGGCCCTGACCAGTGCAACTCAGATGGTTTGATGTCATTCTGCAAAGCAAAAGGCTACTGGTTCGATTCCAAGTCAGGGGACATGTCCAGGTTATGGGTTCAGTCCTGGTGAGGGCAAGAGTGAGAGGCAACTGGTTGATGTTTAAAATCTTAAATTTTTTTTGTATTTATTTTTTAAAGAGAAGGGAAGAGAGGGTGAAAGATGGGGAGAGACATAAATGTGTGAGAGAAACATAGACCAGTTGCCTCTTGCACGCCCTCAACTGGGGATCAGGCCTGCAGTCCAGGCGTGTGCCTGATCGGGAATTGAACCAGTGACCCTTCAATCCACAGGGTGGTACTCAATCCACTGAGCCACACTGGCCAGGGCAGAGAGTCTTAATAATACAAAAATTCTGTTTAAACATACAAGGTGGCTGGGAAACGATATAAGTTGAGGTTGTTGGCATAAAAAGAAGGCAGTGCAGGGCTACTGTCTCTGTACCTTTACCCATTTAGCCCACAAATCTTACAAGCTAGACTTATGCTAGGCGTGGGTGTGGAGAGGGAGATAAAAAAAGATAGTATGGCCCTGGCTGGTGTAGCTCAGTGGATTGAGCGTGGGCCTGGGAACCAAGCAACCACGGTTCGATTTCCAGTCAGGGCACATGCCTGGGTTGCAGGCCAGTTCTCTCCCTCTCTCCTTCCTTTCCCCTCTAAAGATAAATAAATAAAATCTTAAAAAAAAAAAAAAGATAGTATGTCAGTAAGGTAAAGCCTGTAAATCTTAAATTAGATGATTTAAAGCCTATTAGAGCTTTTAAAAAGTCCTATAACCCCCTAAGCCTGGTTCAGCTGATTGTACATGGGAGTTAGGTAAGGCCACATAATAGATCTAAATGCAAGGCATGCAGTTTTGGTTTTCAAAATAGTTAGTGAGAACTTTATATAGATCTGTTTTAAGCAATCATATGTAGTGTCTCCTTTAAGACAACAGTTCTGTAAAACAAATGTCTCAATTTCCTGGATGAGGAAAAATGAAAAAAGAAAGGTAAATACTAATATGCCAATTTCACGGCAGAGTAAAAATTAAATAAATTCAGTAAGGCATCTAGGGCCACAGAGCTAATAAGTGGTGGAACCCGTTTATGAATCCATGCTGTCTAAACTGTCTCGAACAATAAGCAGGTATAAATAGAATGAGTCAGGGGTAGAATGGACGAAGGGTGCTGCAGGCAGTATGCAGAATAGAGTATGCAGAATAAGGCCTTGCCTTGAGCCCACTTGTCAACCTTCAGTTATACGAACCAACAAATTCCCTCCAGTGTTGAAACCAGTAAGAGTCAGAATTACTGTACTTGAAACCAAGAATCCTGATTTTACCATTTATCTTGTCACAGTCTGCTAAATGTCCTTTCTTTCTCTGTTCACATTGGTCCTGTCATTCAACTCAACTGTGTCACCAAATACTAAGGATTTGAAGTCCAAAAGTGGCTGGCAGCAGCTTCTGGTATTACATCTGTTTTAACATTCAGTAAAATGTATTCTGTTCATCATTGCAAGCAAGTTCTAAGCCTTACTGATGGGGTCAGCTTGGGTCTTAATACCACCAATCATTATGCTTAGGGAAGTAGGACAGATTGATTAGTATAACCTCACTCTCCTATTCCATCCACTCTTTTTAAAATTGATTGTGAGCAAAAGAGAGAGGAACACAGAGAGAAACATTGATATTTTTATTTTTAATTTTATTTAGTTATTTTTCCAGTACAGTTTTCTATTTCTCCCATCCCAGCCCACCCCGTACACCCCACCTCCCTCCCATTTCCACCCCCTTAGTTCTTGTCTCTGTGTCCTTCATATCTGTTCCTCCAAATCCCTCCCCCCTTTTCCCTTTAAATTCCCTTCCCTCTCCCCTCTATTCACTCTCCCTTTGTTCTCTATTTCAGTGTCTTTGTTTTTATTCTGCTTGTTTGTTTTGTTGTTTAGCTTCCTGTTAAAGGTGAGATCCTATGGTATTTGTCTTTCAACACCTGGCCTATTTCACTCAGCGTAATGCTTTCCAGTTCCACCCATGTTGTTGCAAATGGTAGGAGCTCCTTCTTTCTCTCTGCTGCATAGAATTCCACTGTGTATATATACCACAATTTTTTGATCCATTCATTTACTGATGGACACCTAGGTTGCTTCCAACTCTTGGCTATTGTAAATTATGCTGCTATGAACATTGTGGTGCATAGGTTCTTTGAAATTGATGTTTTAGGATTCTTAGGATATAATCCTAGCCGGTGGAATTGCTGGGTCAAAAAGCAGGTCAATTTTTATTTTTCTGAGAAAATTCCATACTGTTTTCCATAATGGTTGTACCAGTCTGCAATCCCACCAACAGTGAACTAAGGTCCCCTTTTCCCCATAACCTGTCCAACAAAAAAATATGGAACACTTCATGAATTTGTGTGTCATCCTTGCGCAGGGGCCATGCTAATCTTCTCTGTATCGTTCCAATTTTAGTATATGTGCTGCCGAAGCAAGCACAAAACATAGAGATTTTCTTGTTCACTTATTTATGCACTCATTGGTTGGTTCTTTTTTTAAAAATAAAATTCAACAAGTACTGATTTCTTTTTTCAGGTTTTATTTATTTATTTTTAGAGAGAAGGGAAGGGACAGAGAAAGAGAGAGAGAGAAACATTGATGTGAGAGAGATATATCCATTGGTTGCCTCTCATACATCCCCAACTACGGACTTGGCCTAGGGACATGTGCCCTGACTGGGAGTTGGTTGAACCAGAGACCTTTTGGTTCTCAGGCCCGCACTCAATCCACTGAGCCACACCAGACAGGGCCATCGGTTGGTTCTTATATGTGCCCCAACTCAGGATCAAATCCACGAACCTGGTATATGGGGATGATACTCTAACCAACTGAGCTACCCAGCCAGGGTCCATCCACAGCTGGATATTTAGTTCCTTTCCCCAGAATCAGAAGGTTTCCAGATGTAATTCAGGGGAGTGGGTTGGGGGAATGGTTGCTGGAATAATAATATAGGTAATGCCTCTTGAATCCTGTTACATATATCTGCATCCTAGAGTTAGGAATTTAATAGATAAATATATGTGTGAAAAATCTCATCTGAGAGAGGAACGAGTTTGTAGTTTTGGAACCAGGTATTATTCAAGGTAAAGGTTAAGCAACTCTAACAGACCCCCAAATGCATCAGCTGAAATAAGACTACATTTATTTCTGACTTTAGAGCTAGAAGTTCCAGAACGTTGAGGGGGCTCAAGCATCCTTAATACTTCTATTTCTGAATTCAAGGTGGCTGTTCCCATAGAAACCTCTCAGCAAAGGGAAGACATGTTCATTCTTTTCATGGCATGACCTAAGAGTCACACACTCCATTCATTTGATTCCCATTGGCCATTATTTAACCCTAAACCCACACATAGCAGCCAGAGAGGTGAGAAGATAGGATCTAGCGGGATGAACCTATGCCCACCTACAACTTTTAAGGAGGAAACTTGTCCTTGTCATGGTTCAGGCATGAGATACTGGTATCTCTTCTTGTATTTGTTTGATCCTGAACCACATGTCAGCTGTGTCTCCTAGCTGCATCTAGAGTGAACACCATTGGTCCTCTAGCAGAGGAAGTCATGCTTGGGAAGTCATGGCTGAAGTGCCATGCTTGGGAAGAGACAGCTGCTGTTAACTGAATTTGCTATCAGCTCTCCCCTGAACTCCACATCACGGCTCGCTCCCTCTAACACCATGTGGGATTAGCCACCAGGACCATTCCTATCAGTGGCCTCTCCTGTCTTCCTAGTCTTTGTCTAAGGATCTTTTCTGATCCTAGCAATGTGCCTGTCACACAAACTGGCTGCATCTCTATGGCTATTGACTCATATATCATCTAATCAATAGCTTTTTTCTTAAGGCAAGTGGCCTTTTCTTCCCCAAACCTTAAATTCCTTATTTTAAAAGAAGAGGACTTCAAGCTCTGGTCCAGTTCTGATAGCCTCTGTGATTCCAGGAGAAGAAAATCCCAGAAAAAGCACAGGTTCCAAATAAACGACAAGGAAATGTGAAGAAATTTACAAAGCCAGGCAGCTCCAATTCCTGGAGAACAAAGACTCTGGCTGTGATTTGCCCACAAAAGCGTTTTAGCGCTAGCTAAATGGTTTCGTGCACATTATACACAGGATTATTATACCATGGTATGCACCCATTGGTATACCCATGGGTAATCATTATACCCATGTACAATGCGCTTCCTTATTTTTCCCTCAAAAATTTGAGCAAAACAGTGTACATTACACACAGCAAAATATTGCAACTGAAGACTAGCCGTGACTTCTGAAGCAGCCTCCTCCACGCAGGCGGGATGGTGATCCCGTCCAACGACCCCAACTAATTGTGAGAATTCAGTCCATCCACTGGGATAAAGACGAGAGCATCTTTGCTCCCCATGAGGGTGCGTGGCACAAGCAACTACAGTTGCATACCCCACTCCCGACGTCCTTACAAATGGCACGGTTCGCTACCGCGACACCAATAGTTACGCTTGAAATTTCGTAGTAGATACCGCGAGAGTAAAACCAGCCACCCAGGGCTGAGTCGGAGAAATGCGTCATTCCTAGTACGTAAGAGCAATTTTGCCGACGTCCCCATTCTTCCTTCGTACGCGTGGGTGCAACGTTCGACCTGCAGGGAAAGCGGCTAAGGGAGCGACCCTAGATTTCCTCCCCCTTCTCCAGCCAATTCTCAGCTTCACTTCCGGTCTCTTTATTTCTTGTTCTTCCTGCCCCCGCCCTCCAACCTTTTTTCCTCTTCCGGTTGAAAAAGTAGGTGGTGCAGTTAGAATCTTCAGTTCCGGTCCAGGTTGGCCTCTCCTGAGGCCAGAAAGTGCTCTGGCCGTGATCCGAGGTTGGTGCCTTCACTTGCACAATGGTGAGTAGGGTGCGTGAGTGAAGGTCGGGGCGAGCAGACCGGTTGTGCGGGCTCCCAGCCTCATCTGGGTCCCTCGTTCTAGGCGCTCAGCCGGCATCACTGCAGGCCTCAGGCCCCTAGGGTGTAATTTGTGAATTCTCTTCCTGCCTCTCTTAACTGTCGGAAGTTGGTGACAGAAACTGGAATCTCGAGGGCCACCGTCTCCTCTTGATGTTTTAATCTCGATGCAGCATTTTACATTATCTAGAGGGGAAACTAAAGAACAGAGAGGCAGGCGCAAGGACCGGCTCCGATTCACAGTGCCTGTCGTGGGCTGGATGTTTGTCCCCAAGTCTCATAGCGTTTGTGACCGTATGTTACTGGATTGTTTGACTTATATATGTTCCCACCAACACGAGATAAAAACTTCCCAAGGGTAGGGGCTTTTCACCATCGCTTATTTAATGCCTGGCACGTTGTAGGTGTTCCAGTATGAATGAATGAATGTCATAGTGTCATTGCTTGAGGGTGTGATCTCTGGTCTGGTGTGGTTAGTTGGCTTCTTCAAGAAGCACTCACAACGGGGTAAATATGAGAATGCACATAGTGCTGCTACAACATGTTGATTTACCATAATATTTTAATCAAGTGAGGCCCCTATAATAAACCCTCGACGCTGTAGTAAGGTTATAGAATAATTCCAACATAAGGTCCAACATAAAGTTATATTGGAAACCATTGTAGATTGATGAGGATGAGAGAAACCAGTCGGCTAGAAGAAGTGCTTTTTATAGGAGGATATGCCCCAAATTTACTGTTTCATTCTGCCCTGAGGCTCTTCATTTCTGAACTCTGGCAAGCATTGGGAATCTCCTTTTTCCATTCCCTAGCCAGGGAGATGATCCTTGGGCCTGGATATTTCTGGCTACAGGAGTTGTTGGTTATTTTATATAATACCATCCCACATTCATATTTGTGGGTTCATTACCCTGGCTACATGCACTCATCACTAATCACTTATTATTGATTCAGTGTTTTGGAGGGAGTTCCTATAAGTTCCTTGGGAAGAATCATGGCTCAGTTCCTAGCATCTAGCATGATGGTTTTTAAAAAATATTTCATTTATTTATTTTTAGAGAGAGGGGAAAAGAAGGAGAGAGTGGGAGAGAAACATCAATGTGTGGTTGCCTCTCATGTGTCCCCTACTGGGGACCTGGCCTGCAACCCAGGCATGTGCCCTGACTGGGAATCGAACCAGTGACCCTTTGCTTCACAGGCCCGTGCTCATCCTTTGAGCTACACCAGCCAGGGCTGTAGCATGATATTTTAAGCATGGAATAGGCATTGAGAAATACTGAATTAAATATTTAGGATCTGTCCTAGATATTTAATGAAATATCTCAGACACAGTCTCAGCCTTCAAGATGATGGCCTCCTCTGGGAGAGCCTCTGTTTTATCCATTAGTAAATATTGTGTTCATTTATCCACCAAGCATTTGCCAAGTTAGTTTTTGTGTCCATTGAGAAGGAGGGTCAGAGACAAGATTTTAATGAGCTCACTTTTGCTTAGCATCTATAAATGGCATACTTGATATCTTCATGTATTTATCTCATCAAGTCATCATGACTTCTGTATGAAATAAGAGGTATGATCCCTGTTGTAAAGTAGTCTTAGACTGACTACTCAGGGATGATAAGTGGAAGAGCTGGGAATAAAATTCAATTTTGTGACTCCAGCAAGTACTCTTTCACTTATATCCAGAAAACATTTTCCCTTCCTGACATTGTGTTTCAGGGATAATTGGCTTGACCCTAGTGTGGCAGTACTTATATAAAACTCTCTTTGTAAAAGTTACTCTTTCTCAAATTCCATTGCCAGAAAACATACAATTGTGATACTAGATGGAAGGTGCCATGGTAGGTATAAACCCAGACAAAGGGTAGCAACCTAGTTGGGAAGAAGGGGGTCATGGAAAAACTTACTGGGATGGTGATGATACAAGTAAATTTTGAAGGATGAACAGGAGTTATCCACATACAAGGGGTAGGGGACCAGAGGAGTAAAGATTTTAGGTAGAGGGAGCAGCATAAGTAAAGTCACAGGATTTGGACATCTTTTAATTATCATTTTTTTAAATTTTGAGAGTATGTTAATAAAGCTGGGGACAGTGAAACAGGGAAGGGCTTAGGATAGAGGAAGCAATAGGAAAGAGCCCAGGCAGTGATGCTTTGGCTCTCTAGAAATGTAGGAAGGAAATAAGCCTGTATTGCTTTGGCTCACTAGAAAGTCAGAGAAAAGGGACCTTGGAGATAGATTCAGGGTGTTAGCCCAGGATGAGTTGCTGCTGCCCATTGCTTCCCTCATTGCAACTCTTTTGGGGACCCTTAGAGTTTAGGAGATGTGTGCCTGAGAGGGAAGAAAGGTGTGCCCAAGAGGGAGAGTGCTCTTTTAATTTTTTTTGTTACTGTGTTTATATGCTCCTTCAAGCATTTTGCTTGTGACTGTGCCTTGTGGTGAAACTTGTTGCTAGAAAGCAGATAAATAATTTTTTTAAAAGCAAATAAAAACAGTTTTTAAAAAAATGGGTATTTTTCTTCTGTTCTTTCCCCTTTTAGGCCCGAAATGCAGAAAAGGCCATGTAAGTATCAACAATTTTGACTGTAGATTTTATGTAACTTAATTACTACCACAGGGCTCTTTTTGTGTTTGGTCCTTTTGATGTTATGAGCCTTTTGATATACGTTCCTTTCTCTACATATTTTTAAATAGTATTCCCGTATTTTCCTATTTGTTTTCCCCAATTAGTGTTTTCTGAAAGCTTCCAGAACTTTTATTGGATGAGCATTCATTCACCTGGGCATGGAGGCTAAGACTGTGAGAGTAACAGCTAGGGTACCCCAAATACTAATCTTTAACATCTGGATGTTTTGCTCACCACAGTGAGTTTCCCGCAGTACTTACATGCAGTGAAAATAAAATAGATACTTGGATGTTCAGGAAAACACATGGTTTTATAAATTCTACTCTTTGGAACATGGAAATCTGTAACTTCTCTGTGGTTTCTTAATCACAACACATGCACATATGTACACAAGAATGATGTTGAATATGGTCATGAGCAGATTTACCCTGTCTATGAACTTGGGTGATAAGAAGTCTGTGAGCAGGGTCTAATGGAGTCTTTTCTCTTTCTGGTAGGACGGCCTTAGCAAGATTTCGCCAAGCTCAACTGGAGGAGGGAAAAGTGAAGGTTAGTGTAAATCTTCCTCTTGAATTGTAAAGTAGCATGAAAAATGTGGTAAAACTCCCTACTGAGCTGACTTCAAGCTCATAATCTTCCTGTTTCTTATCTATACTTGCTGACATGCTTATGAGTCTATACACTTGGATTCTAGGTGCATCTCTATAGCTATGGCTGTGTGATGATCTGGCTACTTGTTCTTCCATCTCTTTTGTGCTATGATAATTGGGTTCCCATTATCCCAGCTCTGTCTAATATTGAATAATAGTAGGTAGAATAGCTGTGAGGAATAGCTTTTAGCTAAAACCAGTAAGTGATCTCAAACTCACAGAGACTCATCCAGATTAGGCATAAAATGTACCATTCTTTGGATATTTTGCTTGGTTTACATTTTATTTTTTTCTTTAGTTTTTTGTGTCAGTTTCAGGTGTACAGCATAGTGGTTAGAGAATCTAACAAAGTATTCCCTCAATATTTCCAGTTCCATCTGCCACCATACATAATTATTACAGTATTATTGGCTGTATTCCCTATGCTGCACTGTACATCCCTATGACTGTTTTGTAACCACCAGTATGTACATATCCCTTTACCTTTTTCACCTAGTCCCCCAAACCACTCCCTCCCCTCATAGTTATAGAGAACAGACAATTATCAGTCTGTTCTCTGTAACTATGAGTCTGTTTCTGTTTGTTTGTTTATATGAATTGTTCTTTAGATTTCACATGTATATGGAACCATATGGTATATGTCTTTCTCTGACTGATTTGACTTAGCATAATACCCTCTAGGTTCATCCATGCTATCGCAAATAGTAAGATTTCATTCCATTTTATGGTTGAGAAATATTCCATTGTATATATGTACCACAACCTTTTAAAAAATAATTTATTTTATTGATTACGCCATTACATTTGTTCTATTTCCCCTCCTCCGTTCCCCTCCACCCTGCACACCCCTCCCCCACCATTCCCCCCTAAAGGGTTCATGAAAGGGTTCATGAAAGGGTTCATGACCATGTGTCTCAAGTTCTTTAGATTTTCTATTTCCCCTACTATTCTTACCCCCCCCATCTATTTTCTATCTACTGTCTATGCTACTTATTTTCTGTACCTTCTCCCCTCTTCTCCTTCTCCCACTCCCCTGTTGTTAACCCTCCATATGATCTTCATTTCTATGGTTCACTCCTGATCTAGCTGTCCTCAGTTTGCTTTTGTTTTAGGTGTGGTTGTTAATAACTGTGAGTTTGCTGTCCTTTCACTGTTCATCTTTTTTATCTTCTTTTTCTTAGGTAAGTCCCTTTAACATTTCATATAATAAGGGCTTGGTGATAATGAACTCCTTGAATTTGATCTTATCTGAGAAGCACATTATCTGCCTTTACATTCTAAAAGTTTTGCTGGATAGAGCAATCTTGGTTGTAGGTCTTTGGTTTTCAAAGACTTGGAATACTTCTTTCCAGCCCCTTCTTGCCTGTAAGGTCGCTTTTGAGAAATCAGCTGCCAGTCTGATGGGAAACTCCTTTGTAAGTGACTGTCCCCTTATCTCTTGCTGCTTCTAGGATTCTGTCCTTCATTTTAATCTTGGCTAATATAATTATGATGTGCTTTGGTGTGTTCCTTGGGACTGTCTGAGCTTCCTGGATTTCCTGGAAGTCTATTGCCTTTGCCAGAACGGGAAAGTTCTCCTTTATTATTTGTTCAAATAAGTTTTCCACTCATGACTGTTCCTCTTCCCCTTCTGGAATTATAGGGATAATTCAGATGTTGGAGCGTTTAAAGATGTCCTGGAGGTTCCTAAGCCTCTCCTCATTTTTTGAGTTCTTGTTTCTTTGTATTTTTCTGCTTGGTCATTTTTTCCTTCCTTCTGGTCCGCTCCCTTGATTTGACTCCCAGTTTCCTTTCCATCACTATTGGTTTCCTGTGCATTTCCCTTCATTTCCATTAGTTTAGCCTTCATGTGTTCCTCTAATTTGTGGCTAAAATCAACCAGTTCTGTGAGCATCCTGATTACCAGTGTTTTGAATTGTGGGTCTGATAGGTTGGCAGTTTTTTGATCGCTTAGATTTATCGGCTCTGGGGCTCTGAGTTGGTCTTGAGCCATGTTTTGATCTATTTGGACTGTTACATTTGAGGAGAGGCGCCTTAGGTGTTCACCAGGGCGGGGCCACCCAGGTCGCTGGTTTGTGATGCTGTATGTGGGTGCAGGGTCAGAGAGGGAGCAGTGGCGGTCCTTACTGCTCACGCCCCCCCCCCCACCTGTTTATCTGCACGCAAATGTGTGACTGCAAGTCAGCCAGCCACCCTGTGCCTTCCCTGGGTCTGCTCGTATCAACCATGCACCTGGGATCCGCGCCCTTGGCTGCCTGTGCACCGCCTGGGTCGGGGGATCTTTTTTGCCCGACTCACTCTCTTGCTGGTTTAGCTGAGCGGTTCGTTGTTTTCGGACTCCGTATTGTTCGATTTTCTGTAGCTTGGCTGCGTTTATAGTTGTTAAAACTTTATTGTTTTTAGATTTCGTTGTGGGAGGAGGCAAAGTGTTTCCACGTATGCCTCCATCTTGGTGGAAGTCCTATACCACAACCTTTTTATCCACTTGTCTGTTGATGGGCACTTGGGTTGCTTCCTTATCTTGGCTATTATAAATAATGCTGCAATGAATATAGGGGTGCATATACTTTTTTAAATTAGTGTTTTGGATTTCTTCAGATATATCCCCAGAATTGAAATCATTGGGTCATAAGGCAGTTTCGTTTTAAATTTTTTGAGGACACTCTATACTGTTTTCCACAGTGGCTGCTCTAATCTGCTTCCCCATCAATAGTACATGAGGCTTCCCTTTTCTCCACATCCTCACCAACACTTCTTTCGTTGATGAAAGCCATTCTGACAGGTGTGAGGTGATATCTCATTGTGGTTTTAATTTGCATTTCTCTGGTGAGTAGTGACATTGAACATCTTTTCATATGTCTATTGGCGGTCTGTGCGCACACGCGCGCACACACACACACTCTCTCTCTCTCTCACACGTGTATATACACACACGTCTCTTCCAAATGCTGATGGTCATCATTTCTTAAGGTGATATAAATATGCCATAAAGTGGGTATAATATAGTTTACTTAGCCATCTTTCTACTATAGGGCTTTTGATTTGTTTCCATTGCTTCACTGTACTAAATACAATGCAATGAATGTTTTTGCCTATTGTTTCCTAAATAGAGATTGTAAAGTGAGGTTTAGGGCTTGATGAGATCATCTGGAAGTGAAACTTTAGATGTGTTTAGATGTTTTGGACTTCAAGCCTGAATCAGCTGAATGTTGCAGGAAGCTTGTATTTTTCATACTGTGTAGTGGCAATGTGTAAAATTTGTTTCTTTTTAGGAACGAAGACCCTTCCTTGCTTCGGAATGTACTGAGTTGCCCAAAGCTGAGAAATGGAGAAGACAGGTACATCTCTAGATGAATATGATCTTAGAAGAAGTAACAAGTTTCTAATTGCTTCTTGTTATCTAAATGACTTTTAAACCAGAATTCTAAGTTATTTTTTAAAAAAGATTTTCTTTCTTTATTTTTTTAGAGGGGGAAGGGAGAGGGACAGAGAGGGAGAGGGACATCAATATGCAGTTGCCTCTTGCATGCACCCCCTACTAGGGACCTGACTGGCAACACAGGCATGTGCCCTACACTGGGAATCCAACCTGTGACACTTTGGTTAGCAGGCTGGCACTCAGTCCACTGAGCTGTACCAGCTAGGGCCTGTTTTTTTTTAATTACTAATTTTAAATTACATTTTCCTGTGCTTTTAGATATATTCAAAAGTAATAATCTGTTAACTTTTGTTTTTTTTTTCACAGATCATTGGAGAAATCTCTAAAAAAGTGGCTCAGATTCAGAATGGTAAGCTAGTCTGTCTACTTAAAGTGCTTGCTTTTCAAATCCACAATTAGACTTGGGGATGTCAACACTCTTCTCAATAATCAATAGAACAAGTAGAAAGTCAGTAAGGACATACAAAAAATGAATAATACTACTAATAATTTGACCTAGTTCACATTTATACAACAGTCTGCTTCACCTAACATAAAAGCATACACTTGATTTTTTAAATATATTTTATTGATTATGCTTTTATAGTTGTCCCATTTTTTTCTTGCCTTTATTCAACTCCACCTGGCACCCGCCACCCCACTAGCTTTCTCCCACCTTAGTTAATGTCCATGGGTCATACACATAAGTTCTTCGGCTTCTCCATTTTCCTTACTATTCTTAACCTCCCTCTGTCTATTTTGTATCTAACATTTATGCTTCTTATTCCCTGTACCTTTTCCCCCATTCTTCCCCCTACCCCTTCCCACTGATAACCTTCCATGTGATCTCCATTTCTGAGATTCTGTTCCTGTTTTAGTTGTTTGCTAAGTTCATTTTTATTTTTTTATTATTATTTTAAAGGTTTTATATATTTTTTATTTTTTAGAGAGAGGAGAAGGGAGAGTGAAAGAGAGGTGGAGAACCATTGATGTGTGGTTGCCTCTTGCATAGTCCCCACCGGGGACCTGACTCACAACCTAGGCATGTGCCCTGACTGGGAATCAAACCAGCAACCTTTTGGTTTGGCAGCCGTGCTCAAACCACTGAGCTATACCAGCCAGGGAGTTAATTTTTGTTTTTGTTTTTAGGTTCATGTATTGATAGTTGTGAGTTTGTCGTCATTTTATTCTTCATAGTTTTGATCATCATCTTTTTCTAAAAGTCCCTTTAACATTTCATATAATAAGGGCTTGGTGATGATGAACTCCTTTAACTTGACCTTATCTGGGAAAAGCACTTTATCAGCCTTTCCATTCTAAGTGGTAGCTTTGCTGAATAGAGTAATCTTGGATGTAGGTCCTTGCCTTTCATGACTTGGAATACTTCTTTCCAGCCCCTTTTTGCCTACAAGGTTTCTTTTAAGAAATCAGCTGATAGTCTTATGGGCACTCTTTACCAGTAGGTTACTGTCTCATTTTCTCTTTCAGGTTTTAAGATTCTCTCCTTATCTCTAATCTTGGTAATGTAATTATGCTGTGCCTTGATGTGTGCTTCCTTGGGTCCAACCTCATTGTGACTTTCTGAGCTTCCTGGATGTCCTGGAAGTGTGTTTCCTTTGCCAGATTAGGGAAGTTCTCCTTTATTACTTTTTCTCTTTTCAAAAAAAATTTTTTTAAAAATATTTTTATTGATTATGTCATTACAGTTGTCCTATTTCCCCCTTCATTCCCCTCCACCCTGCACACCCCCTCCCCCACCATTCCCCCCCTTTAGTTTATGTCCACATGTCTCAAGTTCTTTAGATTCTGTATTTCCCATACTATTTTTGCCCTCCCCCCAATCTATTTTCTATCTACCATCTATCCTACTTATTCTCTGTACCTTCTCCCCCCTTCTCCTCCTCCCATTCCCCTGTTGCTAACCCTCCATATGATCTTCATTTCTATGGTTTACTCCTGATCTAGCTGTCCTCTTAGTTTGCTTTTGTTTTAGGTGTGGTTGTTAATAACTGTGAGTTTGCTGTCCTTTCACTGTTCATCTTTTTTATCTTCTTTTTTCTTAGATAAGTCCCTTTAATATTTCATATAATAAAGGCTTGGTGATGATGAACTCCTTGAATCTGACCTAATCTTTGTAGCACTTTATCTGCCCTTCCATTCTAAGTGAATGCTTTGCTGGATAGAGCAATCTTGGATGTAGGTTTTTGGATTTCATGACTTGGAATACTTCTTTCAAGCCCCTTCTTGCCTGTAAGGTCTCTTTTGAAAAATCAGCTGCCAGTCTGATGGGAACTCCTTTGTAGGTGACTGTCCCCTTATTTATTGCTGCTTCTAGGATTTTCTCCTTCATTTTAATCTTGGCTAATGTAATTATGATGTGCCTTGGTGTGGTCTTCCTTGGGTCCAACTTCTTTGGGACTCTCTGAGCTTCCTGGATTTCCTGGAAGTCTATTGCCTTTGCCAGAATGGGGAAGTTCTCCTTTATTATTTGTTCAAATAAATTTTCCACTTTCTCTTCCTCTTCCCCTTCTGATACCCCTATAATTCGGATGTTGGAGTGTTTAAAGATGTCCTGGAGGTTCCTAAGCCTCTCCTTATTTTTTTGAATTCTTGTTTCTTCATATTTTTCTGTTTGGTCCTTTTTTCCTTCCTTCTGGTCCGCTCCCTTGATTTGACTCCCAGTTTCCTTTCCATCACTATTGGTTTCTTGTGCATTTCCCTTCATTTCAATTAGTTTAGCCTTCATATGTTCCTCTAATTTGTGACTAAAACCAACCAGTTCTGTGAGTATCCTGATTACCAGTGTTTTGAATTGTGGGTCTGATAGGTTGGCAATTTCTTGATCGCTTAGATTTATCAACTCTGAGTTGGTCTTGAGCCATGTTTTGATCTATTTGGACTGTTACATTTGAGGAGAGGCGCCTTAGGTGTTCACCAGGGCGGGGCCACCCAGGTCGCTGGTTTGTGATGCTATATGTGGGTGCAGGGTCAAAGAGGGGCTATGGCAGTCCCCTCTGCTGCTTCACACCACTGGGGCCTGCACCGTCTGTCTCACTGCTCACTCCTTCACCTGGTTTATCTGTGCTCGAATGTGTGACCGCGGTCAGCCTGCCACCTTGCGCCCTCACTTGCGCAACCCCAAGCCTGGGATCTGCCAACTGCCACCCACGTGCCTGGGTCAGTCTGGCTGAGTTTTCCTGCACAACCCCACTCTGCTAGATGCTGGCTCCATCCCTCTTAGTGGTCTAGCTGAGCGGTTCGTTGTTGTTGGATTTTCATGTAGTTCAATTCTCTGTGCTTTGGTTGTGTTTTTGTTACTAAAACTTTGTTGTCTTTAAACTTGGTTGTGTGAGGAGGCACAGTGTTTCCACCTACGCCTCCAACTTGGCAAGCTATCATTTTTTCAAGTAAGTTTTTCGTTCCTTGTTCTTTCTGTTCTCCTTCCAGTACCCCAATGGTTTGGGTGTTGGAAAGTTTAAAGTTGTCCAGGAGGTTCCTAAGCTTCTCCTCATGTTGTTTGAATTCTTGTTTCTTCATTCTGTTCTGGATGAATGTTTATTTTTTCCTTTTGCTCCCAGTTTTCTTCCCTTCACTGTTGGTTCCCTGTATATTTTTTTTTTACTTCACTTTGCATAGCCTTCACTTTTTCCTCCATTTTGCAACCATACTCAACCATTGCTGTGCGCATCCTGATTACCAGGGTTTGGAACTTTGCATCTGATCTGATAGGTTGCCTATCTCTTCATCACATGTATCTATTTTTGGAGCTTTGATCTGTTCTGTCATTTGTACCATATTTCTTTTTCTCAGCCCACCCACTCAGTAGTAAGGGGCAGAGCCTTAGGTATTCACCAAGGCAGGACAACCACATCCCTGTGTTGTGGTGCTGTATTTGGGGGAGTGGTCAGAGAGGGAACATTCCCGATTGCTCGGCTCTGGGCTGGCTTTTAGTCACTTCTCCCAGTACCCACAAGCAAATTGGGCTGTACTGGTGCTGATTCCAAGGTGGGTGGGTTTGTGTACATATTAGAACCCTGCAAGTCTCTCCAATGAACTCTGCTATGAATGTGGGAGTTTCTCTTGCCACTGCAACCCCCACAGATTTTTACAGCCAAAGGTTTTGAGGCTTTATTTCTCCATATTGGAACCCCGAGTTTTGCTGTCTCACTTCCCAGTTGTTCCTCCCCGTTTATCTGCACACAAATGGTTTTTTTTTCTATTTTTGAATAAAAGCTTTTTCTTAAAAATTTTATTTAGTTAATTTTCAAGTACTTTAATTTTATTTAGTACTTTTCAAGTACAGTTTTTTTTGTCTGTTTCTCTCATCCCAGCCTCCCCCGCCCCTTGCTTCCCACCTCCCTCCCATTTCCGCCCCCTTAGTTCTTGTCCCTGTGTCTTTCCTATTTGTTCCTCCAAATCCCTCCCCCTTTGCTCGCAAATGTTGAAACACCACATCCACCAGCTGCTATCTTGCCATGAGTCCTCCCCGCCTTGGCTGCCCCTCCTACCAGTGTGAATGAATGTTTACTCTTTTTGAATGAATGTTTATTCTTTTACTCCTTGGTTGTCAGACACCCTATAGTTTGACTTTCTGGAAGTTCTGGTTATTTTTTGTTTTAAATTTGTTGTCGTTCTTTTGGTTGTGTGAGAAGGCAAAGTGTATCTACCTATACCTGTGTCTTGGCTGGAAGCAAAGGCATATGCTTTTGCTTCATTCACCAAAATAAAACATATTTCCAGTCAGGGTGCATGCCTGTGTTTCGAGTCAGGTCCCCAGTTGAGGCTCTGCAGGAGGCAACCATACATTGATGTTTCTCTCTCTCTTTGTTCCTTCCTTTCCTTTTCTCTAGAAATAAATAAATGAAATCTTAAATAAAATGTAGTTTGGCTGTAAAAGAAATATTAGCAAATTTAAAATAATTGAAATCATACATTGTGTATTCTCTGATAGCATTAATGTAGAAATCAATAGCAGAAAGATATTGGGAAAATTTCAAATATATGGAAATTAAACAACATACTTCTAAATAACACATGTGTCAAAGCCACAAGGAGATTAGAAATTTTGGTGGAGGTGATGCGTATTTATTTTTCCATTTTTTAAATAATTTTTAAAAACCCATTATACTCGAGATGAAACATTTTATTTATTTCAGGTGTACAACATAGTTATTAGCCATTTATATAATTTATGACGTGATCACCCTGATAATTCTATTACCAATGTATACCATATGTAGTTGTTACAGTATCATTGACTGTAATCTTTTTAAAAAATATTTTACTTATTTTTAGAGAGGAGAAGGGAAGAAGAGTGGGAGAGAAACATCAGTGTGTGGTTGCCTCTCACGTGCCCCCCACTGGGGACCT